TGCTGACTTCTCAATTTTTTCCAGGATTCTTCTTAACCAAGCCATGCCACTACCTTGGGGCCCAGATCTCTGGGTGTCTGTGCGGGGAAGTTGGAGTTTCTCTGGCTAGGATCCTCACTGAACTTAAACCACCTGATGATGTAACTGGCCTGTTGCTAGGGTATTACTTCCACACCTTTAGGCAATAAGCTATTATTGCTCTATCTAGAGAGCTTGGCCCAGTGCTCTGGGTGGAGGCAGAGAGGCTAGTTCTCGACCTACCACTGGGAGAACAAGCCTGGTAATAAACCCTTTCACCTCAAAGAACGTTTTGCTGTCAATTTCTTTGGTCACATTAAATCCATAACAAACTTGCCCAGGGCTGAAACCCATTGGCAAGACAATTGGCAAAAGTCAGCAGGGTTCATTGTTGACCAAGTAAAAAGACAGGCTGCCCTTATGGGAGGGGTGCTTCAGCGGGCTGCCCCTGTGAACGGGGAGACAGTGGATTGTCCCCCAGTGGGTATGTGGTCTGAGGTGGCTTGCCTCCTAGAGCACTGGGCCCCAGCCCAGGACTGGAGGCAAGTAGAGGTGACACCTGAGGCTGTAGGGGTGGCTGTTAGTATAGTAAGTAGGTCTTTTGAGAAACAGAGTGCTCATGAGGCAGCAGGGACTGGGGTTGACTGCTTCTCACAGTATTAAAAGGGTCTACAGAAGAGACCCAAGAAATGGTGGCATGAGAATATGAGCTGCAAACTTATGTGGATGCCCTGAAGAAGGAAATGGCATTGATGTGAGAGGAGGCAGCATGAGAATGCTGGCAGCAAGGTGCCATTGGAGAGGTAAACAATTCCTTACAGAACAAGATGGCAGTGCTGCCAGCTGTTCTGAAGGAGGAAGAGGCCATCAAGGAAAAAGACAAACTCCTGAGGGAAGCACAGGTGGAGGTGGCACAATAATGTCAGCTGTGAAGCATTGAGGTGAAGGTAAGAGAGCTGCTGAAGACTGAGCTGGCATTGCTGTGAAGCACAGTAGAAAAGGTAAAGGCTGTAGCAGAGGAGGCACTCAGGAGGGGAGAGAAAGGTGCCATCAGCCCTGGAAATGGAGGAGCTGGGGAAGGTTGTAGGGGTGGTGCAGAGGCACCGGCCCCACATTTATTGAAAGCTTGCCCAGTGGTTGTAAAGAAAATAAACACCCATCAGCTAAAAGTTCCCCAAGGAGAGGAGCAGCAGCCCCCTCCCCAGGTTGTGGAGCACTCTATGGTCAACACCTATACTCAGGCTGAGCTGGTGGATTTGGGCTCCCAGTTTAGGCAAGAGCCCTCAGAGTCAATATCAGCTTGGCTCCTGCATCTGTGGGACTTAGGGGTGGATGGAATTGTTCTGTTGAGATCAGAGTTGGGAAAGCTGGCTTCCATGACAGTGCAGGCTGCCTTGAGGCAGAGATTACAAAATGCACATCAGACCCCAGGGAATCACTTCCTCCTCGATTGGTTTATGGCTGCACTTCATTCTCTGTGGCTCAATCTGGGTGATCTACCATCCTCTCCTGTTAGGTGGCAGAATTATGCTGAGCACCAACAGGTGTTATGAGAGCTAGGCATGAGAAATGCCATCTATAGTCCAGAGAATTATGGCCCAGATGAAGAGATTTTCACTACTGGGATGAGAAAAATTGTACTTCAAAGGGCTCCCATATCCCTCTTTGAGTCTCTAGTGGCCATTCTTTCCCTTCACTTAGGGCAGCCCATAAGTGAGGTGATGTGTCCAGTAGCAGACTTAGGAGAGGCTGAAGCAATGAGAACACTGAAAGAAATAAGATATGTTACTCACAAGAAGAATTTAAAGGGCCCCATAAAGGTATGAGGACCCAGATATGGGTTGGTTTAACACAGGGAGGAGCAGATGGAAGGAAATTAGATGGGAAGTCAAATAGGATCTTGCTAGAGCTATGGCAACAGCTGAAGCCAGAGCAGCAGTTCCAGCCATTAAGACCAAAGAGGCAGAGGTCAGAGACAGAGCCACCAGTCCAGCCTCTAGATTTGCAAGACTTCCTGCTGGAGAGAGAGCCAACCTCACTTGAGCCCACACAGGAAGGTGATTGGGGAACATGGTTTGACTGAGGGGAAGGTCAAGGTATCTGACCTGTGGGACCAGTGGGGGACTGGAGGCCACATGTTGAAATTGCTATCCATTGAACCCCAGTGAACATACAACATGTCCTGGCTCTGGTGGACACTGGGGCTGAATGTTCACTGATTCATGGTAACCCTGAGTGGTTCCCTAGGACCCCCACTATCATAGATGGATATGTGGGTAAGGCTATCAGAGTGAAACAAGCCCAAATCCCTTTGAGAATAAGGTGTCTATCCCCAAAAGAGTATACTGTGTATATATCTCCTATCCCTGAGTGTATTTTGGGGATTGATATCCTGCAGGGTCTACAGTTGCAAACCACTGCAGGTGAGTTCAGACTGAGTACGTGTGGTGAAGGCAGTTCTCAGGGGACATGCTAGGCACCCACCCAGAGCTTTGCCTGTGTCTTTGTGGGTGACCAATACCAAACAATACAAACTGCCTGGAGGGCATAAAGAGATTGGAGAAACTCTCAAGGAGCTGTTAAAGTTGGGTATTAATTCCTTTTAATTCCCCAGTGTGGCCAGTAAAAAAGCCAGATGGCTCCTGGCATATGACTGGATTACAGAGAACTGAATAAAGTCATACCCCCTATGCCTGCTGCTGTCCTCTCTATTGCAGGCTTGATGGATACCCTCAGCCATGAAGTAGAAGCATAGCATTATGTGGTAGATCATGCTAATGCCTTTTTTTAAAAATTGACATTGGGCAGGAAAGTCAGAAACAGTTTGCCTTCACGTGGGAAGGCCAGCAATGGACTTTTACTGTCCTTCCACAGGGATACCTCCACAGCCCCACCATCTGTCATGGGCTTGTAGCCTAGCACTTGGCTACATGGGAGAAACTGCCAATGGTGTGGCTATACCATTATATTGATGATGTCATGCTCATGTCTGATTCTCTTTCAGATCTAGAAGGTGCAGCACCTAGACTGCTGCAACATTTATAGGAGGAAGGATGGCTGTGAACAGTTCAGGGACCTGGTTTATCTGTGAAATTTTTGGGGTTGTCTGGTCAGGTAAGACCAAAGTTATACCAGAAGCAGTTATAGACAAAGTCCAGGCCTTTCCTACACCTACAACTGTAGCATTGTTACAGGAGTTTCTGGGTCTTCTAGGCTACTGGAGAGTGTTTATCCCACCCTTGGCACAAATTCTGAAGCCCTTGTACCAGTTGGTACAAAAGGTCATCAGGTGGGACCGGCATGAGACATGTGCATCTGCCTTTACTACAGCGAAATGAGCAGTCAAGGATGTGCAGGCCTTGAATGTGATAGACCTGTCAAGGCCCTGTGAGCTGGATGTTCATGTCACTGAAGATGGTGATGGCTGGGGTCTCTGGCAGTGGCTTGAACAAACTTGCTAGCCTGTTGGATTCTGGTCACAACTTTGGAGAGGGGCAGAGGTACAATACACTTTGAAAGAAAAACTACTGGCTGCCATGTATCACGCCTTGCTGGCTACAGAACCCATCACTGGAATGTCCCCAATAAAGGTAATAACCACCTATCCCATCTTGGGGTGGGTACCAGACTGGACCCAAAGCCAAGGAGTGGTGTGGCACAAATGCCCACACTAGCCAAGTGGGGTGCTTATCTACAGGAATGTAGTGCCCTCTCTAGTAGCCTCTTGAGTGAAGAACTCTAATGCTTATTGGGGCCAGTGACATATACTAGTGAAAAGTAGGAAGAACTTGCATTTGAATCATTAGTAGCAGAGAGTCCCTATCAAGATGGAAGAGACCCTATACCTGAAGATGCATGGTACACAGAGGGCTCCAGCCATGGGCAGCCCCCAAAATGGAGGGCCATATCTTTCCATCCTAAGACTGAGACAATACGGATGGAAGATGGGGAGGGGAAGAGCAGTCAATGGGCAGAGTTGCAGGCTGTGTGGCTTGTGATCAGCCAGGAGCCCTCCCCTGTAGTTGTCTGCACTGACAGCTGGGCTGTCTATCTGGGCTTGACCCTGTGGCTACCAACTTGGTACCATGCCAACTGGCTGGTTGGTCATCAATGCCTTTTGGGGCAAGAATTGTGGCAAGACTTATGGGCTTGTGGTCAGACTAAAATAATTACAGTTACCATGTGACAGGTCATTTGCCACTGGCATCCCCAGGAAATGATAAAGCAGATAAATTGGCCCAGATACATTGGTTAGAAGGAAAGCCTGCCTCTGATGTAGCCCAGTGGTTATATCAGCATTTGTTGCATTGAGGGCAAAAGACAATGAGGACTGTAGCCTGTCGGTGGGGCTTGCCTTTGACCTTTGAAGAAGTTAGTAGAGCCCGGCAGGAGTGTGTTGTGTGCTCCAAAAGGGACTTACACCAAGTTCCACAGCAACATGGAACAATAGCTAAGGGACCTATACCCCTTGTCAGGTGGCAGATAGACTATATTGGGCCTCTACCTGTGTCAGAAGGATATCAGTATGCGATGACTTGTGTGGACACAGCTACTGGACTCCTGGTTGCTTTTCCTACCCGTTGTGCAGACTAGCAGACAACCAAAAGAGGCCTGGAGTATCTCTTTGCTGCCTATGACTGACCACAGGTAATTGAGAGTGACCAGGGCACCCATTTTACTGGACATACAATGCAAGAATGGGTGCGACAGCTGGGAATCAAATGGAAATTTCATGTGCCATACAATCCTACCGCAATGGATTGTTAAAATACAGACTAAAGTCAGATACCAATAGTCTGCGGGGATGGTCAGTCCACTTATGGACTGTGTTATGGTATTTGAATGAGAGATCCCAAAAGTGATCCCTGAGCCCTGCAGACATGTTGACACATATTGTTGTGTGCCGCTCGCTTGGGTGAAATGGGAGTAAACAAAAAACACAGACAATACGACAAAGACAGACAGACAATGGCTGCAGCAGCCCCAATGTGGCACAGCTCCTTTATTTTTATACTGCCTTTCTTGGACCTCAGCCAAGTGCTATACTCATCTTTCCCTTCTCAGGGGGGACAGACCAGAACATCTTGTTGATTTCTTAGGATCTGCCCAGTAAGCAGGGGCAGTGTTTTCACACATCCCCAAGATCTCCCTGTTTACAGCGTGAGGCGTCTTGGCTCGTTTTCGAGGACAAGATATGTTTTTGTGGGTAGATAACTTCCAAGGACTGCACCAGTTGTTCTCAAGCTGGTGCTTCCCTATTCTGTGCTTAGACAGGGGGGAAGACAAAAGCCGTCCCCTACATCTCTTCCTTTCTTTAAATATTACATGGCTGAGATCGAACATGTCTAAAGACATACATAACTTGAGCATATATAGGTTTTAACAAACTATTAAATTGTGTACACACATTAACAGAACAGGAATACAGATACATAACAAAGGCAGACTTATAATTACTAGCCATATCCAATGAAATTAAGAAAACCAGTCAGGTAACTCAGGCATTTGTGAAAACTTATTGACAACATGATGGATATCATCTAATTGATTTTGAATAGTTTGGGAAAAATCAGACAAATTGAAATAACATATTCTTGGAAGCTGTTTACATCTTACATGTTCTTTTAACAGCAGATAGTCTATGGTAGTGTGATTCTGAAGTACTGCAACTCACGCTTCTCTCACTTCTTGGTTGAGTTCAGATAATATAGAAGCACAGGGCAGCTTAGATATTTCTGCATTCCAGCGACAAGTCCAGGAACCGGTAGGAGGAATGCAGCTGCAATGGCAACAGCAGCAGGATCTGAAAGTTTCAAGTTGTCATCGCAATCATATGGCAGAGCTTGGAGAAATCTCTTGCACTTATATCCAGGATGACCTATTAGGGCAGTAAGAATGCGTCACACACCACAAACACCTTGATAGTGTGAAGAAAGGGCTTTATATGTTTTGTTATTACACAAAAATACCTGTTTGGAAGTCTATATCCAGAAGACCATTTTACATTGATTGTAGAATTACAGTAAGAGGGTACATGAGAACAATTAATACATACACAGTCAGTGATTATAGTACTAACAGGTAAATTTAATTAGGCATCAGGAGTGAGTGCTTTAGGGGGAAGAGTGATATTTCTGTAACATGAAACATTTTAGTAATAAAGTTTAGCAATGTTCCTTTTGACAGTGCTTTCCAGGTAAATATATATCAGATAAATAGGCTAAATTAGTCAAATACTTTCTTTGATGAGGAGAAGAAATTCCTCTGACATGTTCCAGGGGCTCTCTGGAAAATATCAGAGTTAACTAGAGGTAAAAGTACTTTTTAAAATTTGGTCTTGGGAAGCTGTCAAAAGTCTTTAAGCCACTCTCCTAAGTAGAATTATAGTTATTAAATAACACTTATTATTTAACCAGAATGATAATAAAGTTTAAAAGCAAATACAGATGGTTACATAGCTGTTAACAACACTTAGCTTAGTCTTTTTAATACTGATCTCATTTTCTTAAGTATTCAATAAACAGCTGTATTTAAGAACAAGTTATCTTCTTTTACTTTCAGTACAATGCATTTCTATTCTATATACTTTCTCTTATTAAAACACACATTCTTTAGCATACAAAAATGTTTTCCTTATTATATTAAGTAGTTTTAATTAGAACTTAAAACCATTTGGTACTTTAACTTTCAGTGAACACTGAAAAATAGGCCATTGTAAACTCTTACACCAGCATTCTTCAGACTGATACATTTATGTACGTATTTTATCATTTTTGGAAATGTGCCTTACAGCACAATTTCTCATTAAGCACAAAATATGTCTATATAACTTAGCAAAACTAAGAATTTTTGGTTACCACAAAAATTATCAGGCTGTTTGCAGATATACACTGTTATACATTAATACAGTATTATTATTAAGATGTTCATTTGCTACACTTGTTTACTTATTTTTAGCAACTATGCTAGATTACTTATAAAACTTTTACCAAACATTAAACAAAGTCAAGCTTTTCTTTAAACTTCTTGAAACATTTAACAGGTAACATCAACTTAAATGACTTTAAGTAAACTTTGGCAGCTGATAACTATAAGGACATGTCCAATACAGTTAAACTTAAATTAGCATTAATGCTTAATATTTTTTATTAGATTTTTCTGGAAGTTTTGGAATGCCCAATTTTCACAAATGCTTGTTTATAAATCAATTTTTAATGCCATCCGCAGGTAGAAAATATTTTTTATTTACACACTTAGACACACAAACATACAGAGATGTAATGACTACAGTTAGCAACACTTTTCATAAAAGAACATATACACAGACAGATAAACTGATACAAAGATTTGAGTCACTAATATTCAATTGCCTTCTTTCTTTTTAGCTTATTTGATTAAAAGTATCTCAGTTTTCAAGAATACACTCTAAGGGCACGCAGTTTACATAACTGGGTTAAGGTTTAGATGGCCCGAGCCTAACAGGGCTGATGAAGGCTCTGAACTGATAGGGACTGTGTGTATCCAGGGGGCTGGAAATGAAATGCAAGTACAATTCTAGCACCAGTTATTTAAAGCCAGGCTGTATTGCAAAAGATAAATTTATTCTATCTCAGGGAGTCTAGTTTAAAATTTCCCAATTTTTAAAGATAATGATGAACCTAATAAGTAGAATAGATTTTCACTAAAAGAATTTAGAAAACTAGTTCCATATTGTAGTAGTTCATGGGACTTTTGACTATTTTCTTTCCTTATGGCAAAATATATTTAGGTGCATAACATTATATTGCATACTTCTTTCAGGAGCCAAGCCTCTCTAATCAGAGAGTTTCTACTGAGGCCAGGTTTGTGTGCAGAAGACAAGACACTTCTTTTTTAGAGTTTAGGGATCGAATTGCTCCCAGTTAGTTTTCCTAGGGTTTTCTGCCTGAGCTTTAGTCATTCCTTGAGAGGCCCCTGCCTGTCTGATAAGTGCAGGGACTGTGTGACCTCTTGCTGCTAGAGCCTTTATTTGAGTCATAAGCTTCCTCCGCTTCCCTGGGGCTACAGAAAAGGAAATGCCTGGCTCCAGGACACTGCCTCTAAGGAAAGGAGTCAGTAAAATAGCGCCATTTACATTTTGGTCTGAGGGTTCAGCTTAATTACTTTACAGACTTGATTTACTTTATACAGGAGAAAGTGGTACAGGCCTAAGAGGACTGCTTTGAATGGGGAGCAAGGTAAATTTATAAGAGTAAACATTTGTGTAAGTCAATTTTTGATAATCGAGGTTTTTGAATGTGTTGTTCTACCTACGTGAGTTCTTCTTCAGCTTGATAAGCGAATCCGCCTATGCCAGTACAGGCTCTTATAAATCAGAGTCAGCAGAACGAGCATCTATCTCAGGGTCCGTTTCTAACAGTGGCAAAGCTTGAGAAATAGAGCTGCAAAGGGACCACAAAATAGCAGCCATCGTGTCCCCCTGTGGATGAGCGCGGCGAAGAGTTTTAACAGCCTTACACCAGGCTTCATTATTCAGTTGTACCTCTGACTGAAAGCAAAACCAAAAGCAGTATTTCTGGACCCTGGCAAATAAATCTTTCAACAGCTTGTCTTTGGCAGTTATACCAAGAGAATGCAGAAGCCCCTGCATGAGCTGTTGATCTTCCCTCTCAAGGGAGGGAGAGTTCCCCATTAGTACTCTTTGTTTCTTCCAGAAGTTCAACTATCCCAGTGTCGGCTTACCTGAAGTTGGCCCCCTTCTGGGTCCCAAGTCACCCCCGGCGTCCTATCTCCAATTTCTTCAGGGTTGTGGGTTCCTGCTCCACGGTGGTTTGAGCCCCACGTTGGGCGCCAAATGTTGTGTGCTGCTCACTCAGGTGAAATGGGAGTGAACAAAAAACACAGACAACACAACAAAGATAGACAGACAGTGGCTGCAGCAGCCCTGATGTGGCGCAGCTCCTTTATTTTTATACTGCATTTCTCGGACCTCAGCCAAGTGCTATACTCATCCTTCCCTTCTTAGGGGGGACAGACCAGAATATCTTGTTGATTTCTTAGGATCTGCCCAGTAAGCAGGGGCAGTGTTTTCACACATCCCCAAGGTCTCCCTGTTTACAGCATGAGGCGTCTTGGCTCATTTTCAAGGACAAGATATGTTTTTGTGGGCAGATAACTTCCAAGGACTGCACCAGTTGTTCTCAAGCTGGTGCTTCCCTATTCTGTGCTCAGACATGGGGGAAGACAAAGGCCGTCCCCTACACATATGGCTGCCTCCCCTACACAACTGCAAGTACAAACCAAGGAAGAGTCACTGAAGCCAAGGTTCGGCCACCAGAATAACATCTTGCTGCTTGTACCAACTGCACTGAACCCCAGAGACTCCACTGAGTGGACATGGCCTTGGACCTTTTGACACATGGACCAATGATGACTGGCTCTACTGGCACCTTGGGGACAAGGCCTGGAACCTGGCTTCCTGCGTATTCCTGGAATAACAGCAGAGTGGCCCCCAAAGGTCACAGTAGTATATCCTGAACAGTCAGAAGGTAGGAGCATCTTACTGGGGAGTTTTGTTTTATCATGGCCAGTGCATGCACCTCCAGTACCACTATATATAGACTCTTCAGTAACCCCCATGGGGAAAGGAATAAAAGAATGGTATACTAGACCTGGAAGGGACCCCCATTCTTGCTATAGTCCTATCACAGGACCACTCTCTTGCATGCATCCTGACAGACAATATTTGCCTATGTTGGTGGCATTAAAACATGTATGTTATCACTCCTAAATTCTTTGTGGATTGGGAACTTCCTCTGGCTTGAGGATTATTATACTTTTTTGTTATTAGGAACCTCCTCTGGCTTGAGGATTATTATAATTTTTGTTACCTGTATCAAAATCTTGCTGTATCTTAATTTTTATCATCTGTAAGTTGTTGTTTTCTGTTGCTATTGTGGAATCTGGTTATAGTGCTCCAGCTTTCTTGCACAGGGACAACTGTGGAAGATTGAAAGTGTGTAGATTGTAAGGTGAAAATCCTGGAGGGGTGGAATGTGGGGAAGTTGGGGTTCCTATGGCCAGGATCCTCACTGAACTTAAACCATCTGATGATGTAACTGGCCTGTTGCTAGGCTACCACTTCCACATGTTTAGGCAATAAGCTGTTATTGTGCTATATAGAGAGCTCAGCCCAGTGCTCTGGGTGGAGGCAGAGATGCTAGTGCTGGACATACCACCAGGAGAACAAGCCGGGTAATAAACCCTTTCACCCCAAAGAATGTTTTGCTGTCAATTTCTTTGGTCACATTGAATCCATAGCGAACTTGCCTGGGGCTGGAACCCATTGGCAAGACAGTGTGTTTCCTGAAGTTCTGAGACTCACTCAGAATTCCAGGGATCCTGAAGGCCTGTGTCTGACTGGAGGGTTTCAGACAGAGGCAAGTTCAGTATAGATCCAGTGAGACCAAATAACAACAAGAGAACATTGGGGACAGAAGGGTTTATACCAAGCTTTATACTGAATGTGGCAGGTAAAGTACTAGAATCACATCTGCCTCCAGAAAGTTTCCAATCCTTCTCCGTCTCTGCCTCCAAAGCAGAGCATTGGGCAGAGCACTTTATATAGTAACACCTACAATGAGCCATTAGCTCATTGTAAGCATTAGCCTATGGTTGTAGGCCAATTACATCATCAAGTAGACTAGGGTCAGGTGAAGATCCTGCCATAGGCATGCCAATTTTTCCTATACCCAACTATACCGTCAGCTCCAAAGGGAATTAAGTAGGCCTGGGACTCCCAGAAATTTAATCAGAGCACAAGACTCCAGGACTTGGCTCTATCTCCTTAGGTCTGCTGTGACTGTACTGGGCCCATGAGGAAATAGCCAGAGAAAGCTAGTGTCCAGAAAGAGAAAAATGAAGCAGATATGCAGAGAGAATCAATGATAAGGACTGTTTTTGAATAATCTAAGGACTCTTGTGGAGACAAATGGACAGGCAGACACGCTGCCTGAGCTCCCATCTGCTCTTGTTCCAGCCTGGTCACACTCCATGCTCTGAAAGGCATCCTGTTTCTTAGCAATTAGTCCTCCATGTATACTTAAGTAACTTAAATTTTCTGTTAGTTGTGATCAAGCAATTCATGACCAAGGTAACCACAATCTCATCCTCCAACTTTAGCCCATAAAGGTTATTTCTGCTTCCCTGGTCTGCTTTTCACCACAAAAAGCAGCTCCTCAGCCAGAACCACACAGCTGACTCCAGCCAGCCACTGCTCACCTGTAAATAGTCCACAGAAAATGGGTTTTTCATTATAACGTTCCATTGCTGTAAAGGAAAGTCACACTTAGTTGGTCAACTTTAATCAAATCCTTTGCCCACAAAGTCAGAAAGGTGCAGGCTTAACTTTGTCCCATGAAAATTGCTCTCAGCTGATAAAAGGCATTTTCTTTAAGTTGTTAACAGTATATTTAGTGAAAATCTGTTTCAATTACAAGAAGCTAAGGATAACTCTATCAAATCCCTGTGCAGTAACTCCAACCCATTAAAACAGAAAACTTACCTTTCATCCATTGCAATCATGAATGCAATAATGAGGTAGGAAACAATAAAGACAACGAATAATTTCATTTAAAAGAAAAAGTGAGCCACAATTCTAATGAAATCTTCTCACTTTCCTAGCATAATAATTTACTCTCAATCTTATATATTGTAGATTTTAAATGACATTTCTGTGCAATGTAAGTAAATGAATTAGAATTCCATGCAAGATCTCAATGCATTGAGGATAATTCTACTGATCACTTTCTTCATATTAGTTCTGGGAAGCATTTGCTGCTTAGCTGGCTGTCTTGCCAATGGGTTTCATCCCCAGACAAGTTCACTATGGATTCATTGAGACCAAAAAAATGACAATTGAACATACTTGGAGTGAAAAGGTTTATACCCAACTTTATTTCCATCATGGCAGGTCAATCAATAGAATCCCATCCACTCAGAGTGAGTCTGCCTGCAGCAAGCCAGTCTCTGCCCCTGGGCCTCTCTGCCCCCTGCAGCCGTCTCAGTCTCTGTCCTCTGGCTGCCACCACTCCAGTCTCTGCTCTCCTGCAGCATTGCAGCCGTGCCACTGTGTTGCCCAGAGCACTGGGTGGAGCTCTTTATTTAGAGTCAATAACAACATATTGCCCACACATGCATAGTGAGCCAACCAGGGCCAGGTGAAATTCCTTGTCACAGGCACCTTCACTTTCTCCACACTGGTACATTGGAAATTCCAAGTTTTTAAGGGTCCAGAAGGACATAAACAAATAGAGTGACCCTATGTTCCAGGCTCAACATATTGATAGTTACATAAGCATATATTCATTAAGAATGGCCCAAATTTTTCATTCACTGTAGTCTTGACCAACTCACAGCACCCCCAAAATACTACTATGTTTCCAAAGCCTATGTAACCCAGTGCATACTGCTGGGTCTGGCATGGAATAATACCTAGGAATTTGACTTTAGCCTAAGGCACCCCAAGATTCATTGTGTACTCCTAGGGCTCTTGAAATCCTGATAGTCAGTAATTATTTGAAGTGGCACAAAACATATAACTGGATCTTGTGATTTAAGATCACTCAACACTAAAGACTCTCAAAAAGACCCAGGGCAGTGACTAAGAACTTCTGATAACACTGGTATATTCAAACTACCTTCTATTGCATTTAGAAATTTAAGAATACTTACAAGAATGATGATAGCTAAGGTTTATATTGTCATTCTAGAGTTTTTAAAGCACTTTCATATACATTATTCCATTTATTCTTCTCAAGAACTATGTGAAGTGACAGTTATCATTATGTTCTTTTTGAACATGAGGAAACTCGGGCTCAGGGAGTCCTACTTAAGTGACTTGCCAGTAGTCCCAGAGCTACCCAACTCAGGGTAGCTCACTGCAGGGCCTTCCCATGCCCTCTTGCCCACCACTCTACTAGATGTGAAAAGATGACATATCACTTCTTCTTTGAGATACTGGGTCAAGACACAGGCAAGGTCTTCTTGTGTTGTATGAGAAAGTTTTCCTTGCCTTTTCTTTTAGTCCTTCAAAATGTAATTTCCCAGATAAGAGAGTCCTCATCCCTACCTTGTAAATAGAATATCAGGCTCCAGTTCCCCACTGAGTATGCAGGGAAAGCACATGATGCCTACATCTAGCAAGGTCTGTTCTATACTAAATGACCAACCTACTCCATATAGCTGTGGTGAGATCTAAGAAGGTATTGTGCTTGAAGGTGCCTGGCCTAGAAATTGTTGTCTTTTTTCCTCTCCTCTCTACAAATGACAAGCCCTGGGGAAGCATAGAATTTACCATATTCTTCTTAGATGCCTCTATGATAATTGACATACAGAATAAAACACAGCTTTTGGGCAGTAATTCTTTATTTCAGCTGCAGACTGAAAAAGAAAGCAATAGACAATGTTAACTTCAGCACATACCAGCTAAATTAGTAACTTTTTTTTTTGTATAACATTTTCTTCATGGAACATTGCCATATAAACTGATATATATGCCACTTTTCTTAGGCATTGGCAGGATATTCTCCCAGGTTGAAGCAAACCGGAGATGTAATACAATGGGCCCTCATTGGGTACTGTAAGAACTGGGTTCCAGTCCTGGCCCTGTTTAACTGGTGATCTCAGTTATTTCATTTTAATCTTTGGGGTTCAAGTTACCAATTTATAAAATGTGCACATTAAAATTAAATCTTCTTCAAAGTTGATTTGAGCCCTGTATTTTGTGATTCTTCCAAGAATAATCCTTAAATTAAATGCAAAGTCCCAATGATCAAAATACCATACTTTGGACACCACATTATTATATTAAAATTATCAGTAAGCTGACAACTTATTTTAAGAGTTAAATTAACCAGGAATATCACTGTTGAATCTTGACTATGAAAATTATGAATCAAGCTCATAATTTTACAATTCAGCTTAAGCCAAGCTATTCTTATT